GGATAGTAACTAAAAAATTCCTCATATTCAAAACATGCCAAGTCCTTATGTTCTATGACCTTTCAAAAATCTTGTTTTTAAAATTACTTTTTCTGACCCTCAAGGCAATGCATACTTATTTTAGAAATCACGAAACAATAACAAAAATGAAAACAAGATCAAAACCCCACCTAAACCCAAAGCCAGGAAGGATGGCTATAATCCCAGCCCCTACCCTGAAAAGATGATTTCTAGCGTGTTGGTGAATTTCATTCCAAATACAACATGATGGAAAAAAAACTGACAAAAATGGTACCCTGTATATATACTTTTCTGTACCTTACTGTAATTTATTTAAATATTTCACAAGTTGTTTGGTGTCTATGTTATCCTTCATTTTTCCTAATGTGTACAGCCAAATTAGCTTGGCTAATTAGCTGAGAGTAAATTAGACTTTTTTTTAAGAAAAAAATCAGCAATTATAAAACATAATTAAAGATGCATAAGTGGTTATAAAATTAACCCATGTTGGAGCAAATTATCAATATTAAAAATAGTAAAAATAAAAGTAGTAGTGCCTGGGAATGAGTATATAGGTCTAATTTTTTTGTACATAATCACTAATATGATTTCATTATTGTACTGAGCTACTTCTTTGTGAGAAAATGACTTTGATCATCCAGTTTAAAATATAAAAGTGGATTCATTCATTCATTCATTCATTCAAGTTCTTAGCATTCACTGTGTTCCTAACGGAAAACAAAATACAATAATAAAAAGGTGCCTACCCTCATGGACCTTTTGTTTTAATGTGAGTGGTAGAAAAAAATGCAAATAAGTAAGTAAGTATGCAAAATATCAGATATGGAAGCAGAGTACAGGAAATTAAAACATGGGGTGTGTGATAGGGAGTGAGTCGGAGTCAGACTTTCCCAGGAGGGAACAGCGCACAGAAAATGGGCGACACCGTGGCAGCCACAGTGGAGAGACCGTGGGTGCCCAGGTGCTCTGGAGGAAAGGGGCACAGTCTGCTCCGGGAGCAGGAAGGGTTCTTACTGCAGGAAGCTGCATCTGAGGTCAGCAGAGCCTAGACCGTGCCAGCTTGGTCAGTAAGGAGCAAAGGCAAGTTTCATTATGGCACAACCAGAAAGCACCGGAGGGGCTGAAGCCAAGAAGTGGCAGGATGCTACTCATGTGGTCAACAGATGGCTCTGGGGATTGAACAACCGGGTGCAGCGTCAAGAGTAAGCCCAAGGGGAGGCAGGTTAGGAAAGCCGCAGGTGCAGGTGGGAGGTGCTGGAGGCTGGGCCATCTGCCAGGGCAGGTGTGAGGAGCAAGGTGCACCGGGTTATGGACAGCAGGCAGAACAGGCCATCGTGCTCCTGGAGAGAAGGCGGGAGACGCAGGAGCAAAAGGGAATGGAGGAAATACCCTCGGACCTGCTAAGAAGAACCGTGGTTTTTGTCTGGTGAGTGTTTTTGGACAAAGAGAAGGACAAGATGTTTGGGCACTTGCTATATATATAGCAGTGTGTAAAAATGATTTCTGATAATCATAGCACTCTCCATTTATTAAGTTCCTACCGAGTACTTAACACTGGTCCCTATCTTTGTTACTGTGTGTAAGGGAGACACAAAGATGCATATTGAATTGAATTCTATCCTTTTTAACTTACTTACTAAATTACCAAATAACCCATGTTTTCCATATGGCCTTTGTCCCTCTGAGGATTGCATTGCCAAGGAAACAGATTGCTAAGCAGGGGCTCTGCAGCTAAATCCTATTAAATGTGCAATAATTCAAACAAAATGCACAAAGCCAAACAGCACTTGAGTTTGGAATATTGGCTTTCAAATATCATCCCCTTCCTAATGCCTAACTATAGACTTAATAAGGTCCAACATTTAGATGCCTGTCTAATTCTATCCAGAGTTTTGGACTTGTACATTCCTGCCCCAAATCCCTACTCTGAATGTCAGAATTTTTAATTAACTTCCCCAAGTGGTATTTTCACATAATAAACTCTCTGCATGCTGCAAGCTTTAAATGGTAGGGGGTGGGGGGGCAAGTGACTCTTTTCTTCTCCTCAGAATTTACCTTTATAAAACGTGACGCAAACTGCTTACATACCTGTACATACCCAAATACTCCTGGAGAAAGTTCACAACAAGAGATTTCAAAAGCAGGAGCTCAGAGACCAACTAGTTCAAATCCACTTTACACATAGGGAACCTGAGGTTCAGCAAGGTTGATGTATTTGCCAAAGTTACACAGCTTATTACTGGGCGGTTTCACAGGCAATGCCCACTTCCCAGGCTGATGGCTTAATGCCATTTTTCTAAGTCTCAAGGTTGTTCCTCTAATCACCTCACACCTAAAAATGGCCCCTACTTCCTCTTCTCTCCCTCTTCTCTCTCCCTACATCCTTTGCACCCAGACTCCCTGACTGACATTCACGGCCTTAGGCCTACCCTCCCCTGCCCACTTGCTCAGTACTCAGGACTCGCTCCTGGAATGCAGCTGAACACTCCAGGTCTCACGTCTAACCTTGCTGTTCGCCCCCGTCCCCGTTCCTCGGCCTCATCCATCTCCTTGCAGGATCAACGAATTTACACATCAAATTGGGTTTTGCACAAATACGTTTTCCAATCCAGTGCCCATGGGTTTTCCAAGCAGACCGTTCTCACTTGACCCTGGTCATTTCATTAAAGAATATCCAGTGGAGTGCAAAAAAAAATGTAATTGGAATCAGTGCACCACCAATAAACACTTATGTAGCAAACTCGCTGCTGAGCTTATGGCTGCAGATGGGTCCTGGGGGGCCTGACACGCACTGAGTCGAGCAGGTGATGGTCCTAGAGAATGAGTGTCACCTTAGTGGTGGGGAAAAGGAAGGGCAGGAGCACTGAGCAGCACAGCATCCGCCTGGAGCCTGATTGACAGAAATGGATGAGACATTCCAGAACAGAAACCCCACAATGCTCAGGGGTAATGGAAGTTTGCCTCAATCTTCCCATGTCTCTAACTAAGGGCGAGGGGGACAAAAGGCCCTGAGATACAGAATGTAGAACTAAGAGTCACTGAAGCTGGAAATGGAACCAGAGGCGATTAGAAGAAATAGAGGCCCTGAAGGATTTGAATACATCTGGAGGAACACATGGAGCTCGGCCCTAATTACAACAAGGACTTAAGTCAAGGTCGTCTGGACCTGAAGGGATGTGGGTCCCAAATCTGCTCAGGTGGTCAGGCTAGAAGGATGAAGAAGGCCCAGTTCTAGTCTCCTGGCACTCACTGTACACCAAGACAGGCAGCTACAGAAATAACTATGCTACCAGGCAAGGATTAGCTAAAGACAGAGTTGCTCACTGGTGTCCACACTTGATAGGGTGCTTATTATATAATACTCAGCAAATGGGGTGGGGTAATTTACAACATCATCGGGTCATCTGGGGTCATCTGTTGGGAAGAGACTGAGTTTCTCTTAGCCCACTGCTTTAATAGCTAATCAAATAGAGGATTTGACTAGAAATAGTTGCCTTTTATTTAGTCATATTTTTTTCATTTAACTCATATGCATTGAGCATCTACTGTTTACCAAGCATTGTGTCAAGTGTTCAGAGCACAATGATGGACTCAGATTGAGACTTGATTTTGCCATTAGGAAGCCTGGAATCTGGAGGAGTCAAGGGGCACTAATCAGTGAATCCAAGGGACAACATATTGTTCAAGTTATGAAGGAGAGGCCCATGGTACCAAGAAGGATCATGACGACGGGTATTAATCTAGTTAGAGGCTTCTGAATGATGAGTAAGAGTTAACAAAGCAAAGGGAAATGTGAAATCATTGCAGAGTGAGGGATCTGCTTGTGCAAGTGTCCTGTGGCATCAGTGAACAGAACCGAGGTCAGTTCTGGGGGAATGGATTAGCAGGGAGGGGGCACGTGGTAGAGCACACAGCTAGAGAGGCAGATAGGAGCCAGAACACAGGCCTTGGGAACTCTGGAAGTCTTTCCTACAGAAGCAATGAGAATACATCCGGGTGTCTCAAACAGAATGATCCTAGGTTAAGTGTTGAAAAAAAGAACTACTATAGGAGAAAGCAAGTGCATGGCAATAGTTAGCAGACAGAACTAGAGTTGGCAGATCGTGGTGAATTTAGTAGGATTTGGTGACAGATTAGATATAGGAGTGTCTTCATGTGGAAGTACCTAGAAACAAAGAAACAAGTCGTTTATTTGGAATATTTGGGGATCACTGGTATGGGGTGGGGAAATAAGAGGAGGAAGGAAAGTCAATCAATAAAGAGGTATTAAGCCAGATCCCACAGCAGGCAACGGGAGTTTAATTGAGTTTAAAAGTGAGTGCAGAGCACATGGCTTAGAATTATCCCACCAAGGGGCGAAGAAGCTGGTACATTGAAATACCAAATCCCATCAGTCGATTGTTGACATGGGGACATTAACTCTGGCACTTCCAGCTTCCAGCCAAGGATTTGGAAAAGACCTTCTGGAACAGATATACAAGTAGTGGTTGCTAGAAGTAGCCTGGAGCTCATTGCAAAGGTGGGGTCCTAGGGTTGTGGGGGGCAATGACCACCTATAGGGGGGTGAGAGCTACAGCAGAGTGTCAACAACTCAGATCTTTGGGTTGAGCCACTGAGGTGAGAAACATTGGAAAACACTCCATGCCAGACACTGTCTATGAGAATGTTGATGAGGTATAGGGCCTGCCCTCATGGAGCCTGCAGTCTAGCCAAAAAGCCCATTAGTGAGGACACTCAAAGGTGTATCAAAGAAGGAGGTGGCCCACATGTAAACATGGGAGACCACGAAGTGGGGTGTGTGTGTGTCCATGTACGATAATTTTGGTCCTAAGTGAGGTGACCACTACTTCAGTGGTGTCCAGGCCAGGGGTCATTGAGGGCACCACTGTCTGATGGAAACATACTGCAAGCCATTTGTTACATGTAATTTCAAATCTTCTAGTACCTATGTTCCAGAAAATAAAAAGAAACAAGCTAAGTTAATTTTAATACTATATTTTATTTAACCCAACATCTCCATAACATTATCATTTCAACACGTCGTCAACGCTGAGCCTTTGACACCTGCTGTGTATTTTATAAAATCTTGAATCAGACTCACCACACTGCAGGCAACTGTAGGCCCACGTCTAGTGGCCGCCATATTGGAAAGCACAGCTCTCAAGTTCATTCCTGCGGGTTAGCACAGACCCAAAAGCTGACCCAGGCTTAAGGATGATCAGGGATTTTGATTCAGACTTTGACATGCTTATTTCAGAAAAGAGATGTCAATGACTTGGAGCTTCAGAAAGACACGGGTGTGCTAACTTGGGTCTGCAGTGCTTCCCTTTGTTTCTCACGGATCCTACGGAAGAGTCAGAGGGATGACTGTAGAGGGGACAAGGTGAGAAGAGCCAAGCGGGGGAAACCATTCCTCCTACTCCCTTATCTAGCAGAGCAGGTCCCATTCCACGTGTGGCAGGCTCTGGGCTTCCCACCATGCCCTCTTCCTTGTGGATTGGGTCAGCCTCTCACAAGAGGTCAAAATGCCAGTTGTCCATTTGTCCTTTGTTCTTTCTGTATGGCCTGATCTGCTCCATGGGTCACACAGCTAGCGATAATGGCAGAATTCTAACCCTGGGTTTTCCATCTTCATAGTCTTCCCTACCACACCACAGTGCCTCCAGAAAGTTCTGCACATGTGTAGCTCTACTCTCAGTGAATAAAGAACAGAATTACTAAGGCCCCCATGGTACGACAGGGGTGAGGAAAGTGAAGGAGGGAGGTTAAAGAAGGCAGTGATGAGCACTGTGTTATGGGGGACACCGTTGGAGGATGTTATAGAAACCCTCAGCTTGCACGTTACAGACCATGTTCTAAAGTTTGGGGGCATTTCATGGAAACCATGAGAACACTCAGGACCCCAGTTCCCATAGGACACGCTGAGGACTCCCCTTACTGTTCTGTGCTGGGCACTGACTCCGCTATCCTCTCATTGCAAACAAATATCACCTGCTTCCCAGGGCAAACGGTGACCCACAGACGGCAGGCAGACAGACTCTGGGGCCACTTAGACCTACACCCAAGGGATTTCCGAGGGGATAAATGTGATTAGCTACTTCAGGCTGAGTGCCAGACCCTGACAGTCCATGGTGGCCTGTTTCCGTGTGACCAGAGACTGAAGGAGAGCTGTGTACCTCAAAAGGGGCAGCTGTTTCAGAAGGGAGGTGAGCAGGCACCTAGGGTTGTCATTAAAAATTTACCACAAATATAATACAGAAATGTATTATCTCACTGTTCCAGAGGCCAGAAGTCAGAAATGAGGGTGTTGGCGGGGCCATGCTCCCACCAGAGGCTCTCAGGAAGGTCCTCGCTGCCTCTTCCACCTTATGGTGACTCCTGTTGTCCCTTGGCTTGGGACAGCATCTCTAACCTTGACTGTCTTCCCGTGGTACTCTTCCCTGCTGACTCTAGAGCTCTGTGTCTCAAACCTCCCTCTCCTCCTGTTATGGTCTAAAATAAGCAGTTTTATAAGAGATAAATCACAGATTATTAATAAGTCATATTGATAGGGCACAGGCTATAGATTAATAGACATAAATCAATAAATAGAAAATAATAAAAATAAAAGTTAATGTCAAGATACTTAAATATGTTTTAAGATAGAAATAACAATACAGTAGGATAAACACACAGCCTTATATAGTACACAGACATAAGACTTGAGGATATTAGTGATTGGTATAGATAATACAAGTTGTAAGTATGTGTGTGGGGGAGCCCACAGGTTAACTATAGTCACAGGCAAATGTTAAGATGATATAGGTTAAGTTACAAGATAAAAATAATTAAGACATAGTCATATTAAGGCAAAAATTGTTGTAGGCCAACATGAGTAAGCATGGCTAAAGTGACTCCATTGCTATTCCTGTAGGAGCCATTTCTGGGAAATCAGCGTCTGAGCTGTCTTCCCCCAAAGAGTTGTGTTTTCTGTACTTTGTACCCTGCAAATGTACTAAAACCCAAACCATACATCTACCTTAGGGGGTCTTTAGTTCTGCTTAGGGGCTCTAAAGTTCCACTAACTGCTGTTTTAGCTTCTGTGACGGCTAGCTCGCATGCTAAGAACTTCCCAGGGCTTGTGGTTTTTATCCTTAACTGATGAAGGTAAAGACAGGGAAATTGCTGTTCTCCCACAGAGATTCAGTCTCTACATGTGGGTGACAGTCCCTGGTCAATAAAGCTCTCTTTGATTTAAATTCAGACTTAGAGTGTTTTCTGAAGTGGCTCCTCATAACACTCCCATTTATAAAGATGCCCGTCATTGAATTTAGGGCCCATTCGGCATCCAGGATGATCCCATCTAAAAATCCTTAACTACATCTGCAAAGACCCTATTTTCAAAAAAGGTCACATTCACCAGAAATGAGGTTAGGATTGGGATGTGTTATTTGGGGGCTGTTTATTCAATTCACTAAGATGCACTGATTCATGTTTACAACAGGTTAAGAGTTCTAGCAAAAACGTTCCCCCTATTTTCAATATATCCTTGAGCCTGACTGTAGGCCATACAGATTTATAGTCAAAAAAGAAAAATGTAGGCAATTTCTCAGAACGTCTTTTGGGATCCATGAAATGTGGCAGAATCAGAAGACAAGCTCAAGGCTGGAAGAAAGAGATGGAAAGAGCCCAGAGTGGAGAAACAGACACGAGTTAAGTGAGAAGAAAATAATCAGAGGAAATCTTAAAAGTTTCCCATTGATAATAAGTGAAAAGAAAAATGACCCAGAAATGCCTGTGGACCATGGCACAGTAGGGAATAAAGGCCTGAGGACGTGCGAACATGGAGAAAGAGGAAAGTCACAGTCAAGGAAAATCTCACGCCAAGTCCACAGCTATAAAATAAAAACCTACAGACTTGAGTATGGGAACTTGAAAAAGGATCTTTATGTTGCTTCAGGAACTATTTCTTCTCCATCCAGTTGCATCAGGTGGAATCTCTCACATGGCAACTGCTGCTCAGAGCCAAGACACGATTCCACCAATTATTGGCCAACAAACCTTTAGACTTCGACTTCTTGGGCTCACTTCCAAATATTTCCCAAGAGTATGTTATGTTCCGGTAGAGGTCAAAGTCTTTGGGACCACCTTACAGACTCGGGTCACTTATGTGAGACCAAACAAGTCACAGATTATTGGTCATCAAATTAAAGGCTACCTTTGGGTCAGTCCTTGACCCCTGATCCACTCACCTGAGGCCAGGGGAAGTCAGACTGAGGATCTCATGGTCTGTGGATCTGTCCTTTCCAGGGTCAGGTTGGACAAACATAAGGATACACAGGTGCACTACAGGTGTGCAAAGGATCAATGGAGTGTCCACAGTATAAATTAGGGGTGGCTGAAGATATGTACACAGAAGATGAACTTGCAAAGTCTGGGCTATGTTCATCAGTGGGACTACACAGGGAGGGGAGTGGGTGGGGATGGGATGGCAATCAGGAATTCTGAATTGAGCATATGCTCCGCCCCCACTGGGGGCCACAAGTATGTGACAGCTAAGACAACTGTGTCACAGCTAAGACAACTGGACCATGTGATGATCAGGCATCAGTTTTATCAGGATCTCATGTTATTCTCAAGAAACCAAATGAAAAAGAGAAACAGCAAAACTCGAGCTGTATCATCTCATCCGAGGGGTGGAGGGATGGCTCCCAACTGATCTTTAACTGGGGACCCGGTATCATGACTGAGTTGGCAAATTAGCAAGTATGCCAGCACTTCATTTATTAATTGGTATGTTCCACTTTAATTAAAATCATCCTAGCTAATTACTCATCTTGCTGTGTACAATGCCAGCTGAAGAGGCCGGAGGACATGATTAAGGCAAAAATAAACTGTGCACCCAGTGCACTGGATTCACCCCCTTACTTTCCCTCCCACCTGAGGCGATGCCAGGGAAGTGGGAACTCGACCTTCCCTTCTGCCGCATCTCGGAATGAGTGGGAGGAGGAGAAAGTGCATGGGCTTTGAAACTCATAATTTGGGGTCTGATGTTGGCTCTGCCATTTACAATCTGGGTGACCATGAGCAAACAGTCAACCTCTCTGACCTTCTAGTTGTCCTATCTAAAAAATAGGAACAGCAATAGTCCTCACTACAGAGAACTGGTATGAGGGGTAAATGGAATAAAGGGAAGGACTGGGTACAGAACAGCAGCTCAGTACACTTTGATCCCAGGCTTGGCACCACCACCCACTCACTAGGGTGGCATCTCCTCGTTCACCAGGCTCAATTCAGACACTGCTCCCTCCCAGATGTTTTCCCTGAGTCCCAGATCTGAGCTAGGGTCCCTCTTTCTGTGGGCTTATCTTACCATACGACTGTATTTATTAGCTCTCGTATTTACTTCTAAGCCCAGCAGGTGCACACACCCTTCAGTGAGCAATCGTGGTTAAGACTGAAATGAAAACAGTATTTTTCTTTCTGTGTATCTTTTTAAATGGCTTCCAAGTTAGTAGGAGATAAACATTTATTATGTTATTTGGATCTAACTACATAATAAACAAAATTGTTAGGTGTCTCTTTTGACTTCGATGTGCCTTGGAAAAAACTAAGATGCCAAGGGCTCAGTGACCTGAGAAAGTTCTAGAACCCCCTAGTGGGAAAATGATGCAGCTGTGGTAGAGTGACGATAATGCCATAATTAATAGGTAACAGGAAATCGTCCTTGAGCCCCTGGGAGTGCTTTAAGTGAAAGGATCCTGTGTTACTCTTTGAATCCCCTGACAGGCCAGAACAGAAAGTTCATTCCTACAAGTTACCAAAGAGGAAATGGAGGTCTACAGAGGAGGGATAACTTGCTCAAGGTCACAGAATGGAAGATGCTGGAGCTAGTTTTCACACCTAAGCATCCTGATTCCAGGTCAGGGCTCTTTACTTCTTTACCAACACTACAGGGCTGCTGAGAATCTGGATCACAGAATCCATTCACAGAAGTGGGGACTAGAAGAAGATGCTTTGGGTTGTCTGCTAGCCCACACTGACCCTCGCCCTTGAAAGGCCTCCCAGGTTACTGGAAACCTCCCTGGTGACCCCACAGTAAGCCAGAGGGAGTCTTTTCCAAGGAACTGGGGACTAAGGCACTGAGTTCACTGAGTTTCTGTGGCTTGTCTGTCTGATCAGGCAATTCTAACAGACATTGGCAGGATGCAAAGAGAAGGTCTGTGACCTCTACTTTTTGAGGTAGCAGCTGCATTGGCTCCCACTGCTGTCCTTCTTGGAGTTGATTTGTTCAGGGGCTTTGTAGATTCCCTGAGATCTGCACCTTGCCAATAACTTCTTTCATTTGATCCAGATTTGTTGCTTAATTAGAGCCCTGAACATAGATGTCATAAAACACACTGCTAAAAAGATGATATCTCCACTGCTAAGTATCCAGCACTGTAAACTGGGCATCTACAAATGTCGCTCAGACTGCAGACTTCAGCTGGGCCATCTCCTCTCAGAAGCCAGGCGGATCTGTGCACTTCATGTAAATAAACAGTTCGGAAGGGTGGCTTTCTGTATTGCCAGAGAGGTCAGCCATCTACCCGGCAATTATGCCACTGTCAGACTGTAAATACACATTTGCAAATGCCTCTGTAATTGTTCAGAAACAGTTGGGGCTGCTCATGGAGGGCTAGTTACAGAATGTTAATGGGGTGGCTACCCAACATCTGCTTTCAAGGCTGCAGCTAGATTTATGCCTTTGAAACATTTATGGGTATAGAGCAGGGAGGGGAATGGGTCTTTGCCTCTGCCAACTTTCAGAAAATAAAAACTCAGCAGCTGTGGACAGTTGCATGGCAGATTGATGGTATTGCAGTTTCAGCAAGAGTAAAGTCTTACTTAAAAATGCTTTGGCTTCCTAATAATTAAGTAACACTCAGCAAGGCGTGAGACTGCCACCCCAGAGCTGTGGTTGTGCGGCTTTAGTCGCCAGCTTCTCTGACCTCACGCAACACGGTCAGTCAGTGTCATGATTAAGCAAAGGCATTCCTGCTGACTCCAAAGCACGGTTCACGGAGATGCCCACAGAAGTGGTGGATCTCAAGGCAGTCCGTTCAGAATGTTTATCTTTCGACTTTTCACTTTGGGGCTTGTGTTTGGAACCAGGTTTTCTGCCCTCATCATCATGAGACATAGATGGTTCCCTCTCCCAATCAGTAGGTGTACTGGCTTCTTGAGTTCTGGATTTTGGCTGTTTTAGCTGACATCTACGAAACCCCCAGGCCCACGGAGGGCACTGTGTATATACGCCACAGAACCTACGTACTGGAATGCCAAGTGCTATTTGTAACAAACCCCTTAAGCTTTGGCAAATGGTTATTTAGCCATATTCAAGTGTTACAGAATATTACTTAGGGTTACAGCAAGCATGTGAAAAAGGTACCCCAAATTCCAGTGGCAGAGTGATGATAGAATTTTATTCTTCCCTCCTGGAACACATCCCAAGCATCAGGGCGGGTGGGACAATTGCTTCATTCGAAGATCTGAGCTCTGACCATCTTTTGGTTCTGCCACCCACCCCTGGAATTTTCCTTATCTATACAGTGAAGACTGGGTTGCAGAGAAGCCCATAGAACAGCTCATGGAAGAGACAGAGTGGAATAGGGAAATTGGCTTGTCTCTTAAGCTGGGGACAACCTCAGGGTCAACGCCCACCTCCATCATACTGGCCTCAATGAAATCCCAGAGGCCCACTTCATGGCAGGGATCCTGGGGAATGCTGCTGCCCCCTGGGGCACCTGCCATGGAGGAAAGGGAGGGCAGGTGCTGACAGCCACCAAGCTTCAGCCACATCTAACAACAGACTAAAAAGGACACTGTCCTACACATAAGACAAATGCCACATGGTCACGTTTATCAAGAGCTTATTATGTGCCAGATCCTCTCTCTTAAGCATTTAAGAAAGCATTAGCATATTGTGGGGGAAATCAAATGACACTGTAAATACACTTTCCACTCTTGAAAGACTTCTGCTCTTCCAGATATCAATAGAAAACAACTAGGAAAAAAGGCAAGGATTTTACTTTCATATGCAGGAAAGTCGTTCACATCTATCTGATCTCTATACCTGGTGTTTTCTGATGCTCTGTGCATAAGCTCACCCCGGAGACCTATGGCTAGTTTTTGGATTTTGATCTAGTAAGTCACAGCTGGCTTGTAGCATATTTATGAAGGAAGGACTTTTCACAAGATGCTATGACATCATCGAGATTAAATTCTATCTCAAAGTTAGGTTTTTCCCCCCAAATAATTAAGGCAACCAATAGAGCAAGTTTTGCAGTCATGCCCCTGATTAGGTAAGTCACCCCATCTTCAGGATTTGTATACTCAAAGCAATGAAAAATAAAACCATGTCCAGAGTGTGTGATGTACTTCTGGGAGTGGACCTTCGGATACAGGAAGTAGTCCAGTGGCACCAGGAACACATCCTTGACTTCATCAGGATTAGGCTGGGCCTGGAAGTTGTGGTCTATAAAACCCACCACTGGGGTTACCAGTGTATCTTTCTAAAAGCAGAAAACAAAATACACCAATTAAGAAGGGCAATGATATTGTTTCAAATGTCAAACTCTTTGCCATTTCTATGTTAGGTAAGCCAAGGGCATCAGTTACAAAGTTGGGTAGTGAAGGGGGAAGAATTTGCTCTAGAAGCAAACTTAGATCCCTCACGTAATGGTGGGTGTCTGCCCGACCTGAGGAGGCATCTGTGAGATGACTCTGAAAACATTATGTGTCATGAACATAAACTGGTATGAAAACTGGTACCATCTGTTTAGAATAGTGTAAAAACGACACTTACAAAAACATGATCCCTGTGGCTTAGGAATTGCATGTGTGTGAGTGTATCTGCATTATAAATTCCTCTCAGCAGGAAAAGATGCATGAACAAAGCAGAAGCATTACTTGCAACAGCCTTGGCCTCTAGAGTTGCTGGTCTTCATTCAGTTCTTGGATATTTACATTAGATGAATTGTGGTTATAGCCATATGCTAGAATACTATGCAGCAAAGAATGTATAAATACCTTTCCCTCGCAGTAAAGACTAAGGAATTCTCTCTCATCAGCAGAAAAGTGACATACTAGTTGTGGCATATTTCCATTTATGGGCAATTACATAATATATATGATTTTATATATATAATTATATAAGATATATTATATAATTATATAATATATGTCTTATATAAGATATATAATTTTATATATAATGACATATAAATTATTTTTTCATAACATACATATTTATATTTTGGTGGGGGGATTTCTATTTATATCCACAAGTGCTTGCAAATGAATGAGTTCTGTTTGGCGAAAGATGCTCCGTCCTGGGAATCTTGAGGCCAGGACTGAGTTGGATACAGGAGCTGGTAAGAGGGCCAGAGGGCCACAGCCTGCCTGGGAGAGGGAGGGGAGGGGAAACCCAGCAGCACCCACTCCAGTTGTGACATCCCAAGATATCCCCAGCCATCACCAAATGTCCCTAGGATGGGGGGAGATTGCTCCAGATCACTCCAGTTTAAAAACCACTGAGCCAGGTGTAGTGGTCCACACCTGTAATCCCAGCTGCTTGGGAGACTGAGGCAGGAGGATCTCAAGTTCAAAGCCAGGCAGAGCAATTTAGTGAGACCCTAAAGAACTTGGTAAGACCTTGTCTCAAAATAAAAAAATAAAAAATAGCTGGGATGTGGCTCAGTGGCTAAGCACCCTTGGGTTCAATCCCTGGTACTAAAAAACAAAATCAAACAAACAAAAACCCACCAAATCAGATTATGCTCATAAGTGATTGATAAATGGGGTTTCTTGTGATACAGCTTAGAGTAAGAAAGGGCTAGAACACACAACAACCTGCCCCAGCACATTCACACCCAACACCTTTCTTTACAGCCTTTGTTCATCCCAATTTCTCAATGGAGACATTTTGGAAATACCCTGAAGACTCCACATAGTCCTGTGCTCGTCTGGGTCTGCAATGAGTCCCAGAGGCCCGGGTGGAAGGCTTGGGCCTCAGCCACTGGTGCTACCAGGAGGTGGCCGAAGCTTTAAGGGGAAGTTAGGTCATTGGGGGCATCGAAGGGGTTGTGGTTCTCTGTCTCTTCCACCTTCCTCTGTTCACTCCCCCGCTGCCAAGAAGCAAGTACCTGTCTAACATTTGCACCCTGCCTTGATGTCCCACCTTGCCACAGGCCTAAAGAAAGGTCCTCCACCGAGACCTCCAGAATGGGAGCCCCAACAAACCTTTCACCTGTAAGCCCATCGTCTCCCAAGAAGTGAACACTGCCCCACCCACCCATGCATGTGAACCCAGTAGCTCCCGAGGGCCTTGAAGTGAAGCTGCTCTCGCGTGGGGACCTCTTAAACATTATGTCTCAATGTGTCAATAAGTATTCTGAAATAAATCCCTAAAATGTGCTAGGGGATTTGCAAAAATCAACTGAAAAAGAGTACCCAGTAGACAACACTATTGAAAAAAGAAGGAAGGAAGGGAGGGAGGGAGGGAGGGAGGGTGACACAACTGGAGTAAATTACACATTTCTTACCTAATCCCATGTAAACTGCCCTCCCCCACCCCCACACCCTGCCCCAGACACACACAAACACACACACACACACACACACACACACACACACACACAAGACCGTGCATGCAGTTATTGGGCAGCCATGAGCTTCTTCCAGTCTAACCTCTTCTGAGTGACAACCTTAAACTTCCTGTTTTTCAAATGGGCTTAATTAAGAGAAAGTCTCAGAATCACTGACCTTCACAACACTACTCCACCCAGACTTGAAGCCAAATGGAAAACAAAAGCCAAACTAAGCCACTGGCTTTTTAGCGGTTAAGCAGAATGGGATCATTCTTTCGAAATAAAAATATACCTGGAAGCTCAATATATATCAAATACAAAAAAAACCTTAAAGCTACGTCTGTTATCTTGGGGTGAGGGCACCTGAGCGCTGCAGTGTCCTCCCCCAAACCATGACCCCAGTTTAACCTTGAGAAAAACATCAGATGGTTTACAAAAATACTTGACCAGTGCACCTCAAAAAAGTCATAAGTCTGAAAAATCACATGGACCAGAGGACCAAGGAGACGTGAAAACCAAATCCAATGTGGTATCTCAGATGAGACCCTCCACAGACCAGAGACAGCAGGAGAAGCTAGCAAATGAAACGTGGACTGAGTTAGCAATCGTGTACTAACACTGACTCTTTAGTTGTGACAGATGTCCCACAGTGATGTAAGATGAATTCCTTTTGGTTTTGTCTATGCTGTTTTAGCTTATACTATCAAGGAGATCCTGAGTCAAACAAAAATGCAGTTACAAAGAGGAGTTTTCCGCAACTTGCCAGCTCAGGGCTCTGCTCAACTGCAAAAACAAGTACCCATAGGGTAAAGGTAATGCCCTGGTTTCCTCAGGGATAATATTTGTTACATAGCACACTGGAGTATTTTTTTTTAAAAGCAAATTCTCCAAATAAATGTATCCTGGAACAAAGTAAATATGAATTGAATGTTAATGAAATAATTCTGAAGCATCCACAGCACCTGGCCTGAAACTCACTGATGAAGCTCAACCCTTTCACTTCTGGGGAGGGAAAGAAGGGTTGGCTTGGGGCCACTGGGCTCACAAATGACAAAGTCCACCCAAGAACCCAGTCTGTGAACTCTTGGGCAGCACTCTTTGGGGTCACTTGGTGGAGTGTGGGATACTGAGGCGGCAGATCCCCTGGCTACCCAGGAGGGGATGAGAATCCTTACGTCAAACAGATAAGGCACCAGGCGGCTGATGACCTCCACTTGCTGAGGACGCAGCCCCACCTCCTCCTGCGCTTCCCGCAGAGCTGTGTCTATGTCATCCTTGTCCGTGGGATCCCTCTTTCCTCCAGGGAAGCAAACTTCTCCAGGTGACCTTCTTAGCTAGGCATGGAGAGAACAGAGGTGACGTGTGGATCTCACGGTGGCACCATTCCCTCACTCAGCAGATGCCTACCCAGCTTCTGCCCACCATCCCTACCCGGGGGCATTAGATGGTGAGCAAGAAAAAGCATGAAAAGTATTTCTTTGAATCCTTAAACAAAGAAAAAGAAATTCTAAAGAATTCCCCTCACAGCTAATTTTTCTCTACCTGTTCCCAAAAGATACCACCTACACAAACAGATTGACGTTGATGGAGAAAGGCTGAAAGGAATGATAATTTTATAAAGGGCAAAATTACTCACGGAGCACTTTGCCAAGTCCTTTAAAGTGCTTAACGCGTGTTAGGCAACAAGGACTTTCCTCCCTGGGTCCTCAGCTCTATAAACCACTCTTTTTTAAAAGTATTTTTAATAAGGTCACATAATAAAAAATTAAAGCATTTAAAAGTGAACAGCTCCTGGGTGCGTGGAGCATGCCTGTAATCTCAGAGGCTCAAGAGGCTGAGACAGGAGGATTGCGAGTTCAAAGCCAGCCTCAGCAAAAGAGAGGCGCTAAGCAACTCAGTGAGACCCTGTCTCTAAAATAAAATATAAAATAGGGCTGGGGATGTGGCTCAGTAGTTGAGTGCCCCTGAGTTAGATCCCTGGTTCCCCACCCCGCAAAAAAGTGAATAGCTCGGTGATAGTTAATATATTGGCAATGTGGTACAACCACCCGCTATCTAATTTCAGAATATTGTCATCACCCCAAAAAGAAATCCACTACCTGTTAAGAGGTGATCACCTCTCACCCCAACACCCGCCACCTGTCTGTCTCTGGGTCTCTCCAGTTGGGATGTTCTATGTGAATGGAGTCCTATGTGGCTTTTTTGCCTCTCCCTTGGCGCAACGACTATGCACATGTGTTTCAGTCTGTCCACACATCTATTCATGGATGGACATACAGGGGAACTAGGGCTCAAAGAGGTTCCACAACCTGACAAGGTTCACACAACGAGCTGGAATGTAAATCAAGGTTTAATTCTAGCACCTGGGTTCTTAATTAGCACACCTTCAATTCATCAAGAGTTTATTAGGATACAGAAAATACGGTCACTGGAGTCATTAACAGAAACCTGTGGCAGCATCTCTGTGTATCTTGTAAAAGAACAGGGGTCCCTCCTGGCCCTCTATTGCCCCTTCCACCCCATCCCCAATTCCATTCCTTCTCCACCTTAGGAGAATTTGAGAAGAGAGTATGTCTCCATCTGTGGCATCCTAAATATATCCCTCTTTCTCATCTGTCTCAAATGATTTCTCTCAAGTCCTGAGCAGGGATAGAGGCACAGTCCTTCCACCCTTCTCGCTTCTGTAGGACCCAAATTCCCAGAAAACTGACCCTAATTTCCCTTATGCCCACCCCCATGCAGTGCCCAGTGTCCTCTACACTGAACTGTCGATGAGACCTCAGCTCAGCAAGACTCCTGACCGCATCTCAACTGTGTGCCCCTCCCAGAACCGTGTAATGGTGACGTGGTTGAAGTATGTGCAAAAGGGTCCCGCCTGTGCTAGCTACTTCACCATGAGAAGCCCTAAAGTCTCTCCAAGGTTAGGAGCTCCGCCCAGGGCTCATGATGGCATCCTTAGCACTGGGGCTGATGAGGCTGCATAAGAACAAACACGATGCCTGCTGTGGTCTGAATGCCTGGGTCCCCCCAAGATTCATATGTTGAAATTAAATCTACTTGAAGCTGATGTAAGCGTCATCTGGCTGCCTGGGCAAGAGATGCCCTGTGAGGCACTCATTGCCAGAGCTCCTGGCTCCCTGGAGTCACATAACTGGGATCCCAGGAGACTCCTCCTGGAGGATGGGGAAGAGGCCTCCCATCATCTGTCCATATGACTTGGATCTGTGCCCTCCCACTCGCCCTGCAGCTTGGAGCAGTTCCTACCCCAAGATTCACCCCTAAAAGGAGACTGCAAACTGCCCAGTGTGTCGTGTGGAAGGGAAAAGAGGGCAGTCGAGTGGGCACAGCTCTGGCATGCCAGAAGACCTCCGTGATGGTTGTTGCCATCTGTGTTTTCCTTTTCTCCTTTTGGGGTCCATCTTGTCCACCAGACTCCTCTCAGAGCCTTGGGCAACGAACGATGCCTCTGCTTCAGGGCATCAGGGCTCTGCTGTGCATTATCCCCTTCCCCCACCTTCCTCCCCACCCTCCTTCCCAGCTCTCTGGGGCTTGAAACAGGCAAGAGAAAATTCAAGAACAACACAGAGACTGAAGTCTTAGGAAATTGGGCTGAAACTTTAGTTGGCTTCTGAGTAGAATTTCATAAGGTTTTGTTTAATAAAAGTTTTATAGTATTACAGAAGAAGAGATTGAGAGCTTCTGCATTGAGAGTCCTTTTTAGCAAAGCCAGTCTGTGAAGAGTCAGCTTTAGAAAGGCATCTGGAATTTCAAAACAGCATAGAATTTTCTTAAGAGTAGAGTTAGCACAGATCCCCCAAACGGTCTTTACTCCCTATTAATTGGAATAGGCATACAAAGCCACTTGAGTTGAGCTGGTATGCTCTGAGATCTTCTTGAGATGCTTTCAACATACATTTAAAATCAGGTCCACATAAAAAACAAAATGAATTCTGGAGCTGATGCAGCCTGATCTTATTTGCCAATTTGCCTGCTCACTCACCACAGTGACCTCGTTGTTCTAATGGTCTTGAGAAGGGGTGTCAGGACAGCATTACTTTATCCCTACAAATGTTGTGATCTAAACCTTTAATTTTAGTTTTAGAATACAGATTTTAGTGTGCCCGTGTCACCAGCTGCCTTGGAGTTAAATATACTGACCGTAAATCACTTTTTTCAAGGTGCTGTAACCAGAGGTCTATTTCTTATGCTTTCTGAGACCTCTTGGGTGGGTGGCGTGAGGTCACAAGGCAGGACCACGCCTTCCCTTCCCTGCTGTCAGAAGGAGCCCAGATGACAGCATGTGTGAGGAGGTGGCTATGGGAGCCATACCTGTGGTGCTCCCAATTCATCAGCAGGAAGGACTTGAAAATGTGGGTTTCTTTCTTTTTTTTTTTTTTTTTTTTTTTGTTAAGGCTTGCCCTGGGCTCCCATACAAAGGCAGAACTCCTCTTAATGCAACAGGAGACCTACCAGCTTGAGGGTTTGGTCTTACCTAGATCTTCTATGTTATTGTCTGTCTGGTAATTCAAACAATATATTTAAGTGCCAGGCCTGTGCTTACCGGCAGACCTGGGAACAGATCCCTGTGAAGCCCCTCCCTCAGGAACCTCAGGATTTTTATTGCTGTGTGTTTGTGTCATTAATGTCTGGCCCAGACCAGAAAGAATCCACATGTGTCTCCTTCCAAGTCCACAGGTGTGCAATAAACACCTCAGCTCTGCTTTCTTTTCTAACAAGATACTTTCCATCATTCTGTTTAAAAAGCCCAGTTGTGTCATGATCCATTTCTTTTTGTACTTGGATAATCTTGAAATTTCCATTTCCCCAATTCTTCCTCCCCCAACAGCAAGGCAGGATGACGGCACCCAGGGATGCAGGGGTAAGCCAGAAACCCTATTCCCAGCCCAATCTTCCTTTCAAGTGAAATCATTTATCTTAAATTTCAGGCCATGTCTGCCACTTGACACAATGACAGCTGACACTGCAGAATTCTTGCCAAGTGCCAGGGCTGTTTAGGTGCTTTGCAATTGTTACCCCGTGAAACCCTCACAGCAGCCCCTCGAAGGAGGTATTAATATGTTGTCCTCATTCTACAGTGAAGAGAGAGAAGCACAGAGAGGGTAAGGAACTAGGACAAAGTCACACCACGGGCCAGGAGAGAGCTTGCCCTCCACGTGGGCAGCTAGCTGGCTTTAGGGCCGCGGCTGCTAACTTGCACGTTCCAATATTTCACATCATCCCTGGGGTGAGCTCAGCCTAAAACAGTGGTTCTTGGCAGGGGTAATTTTATCCCTCCCCCACATCCCTTCCAGGGTGGCAGGCAAGGTCTAGAGACAGTTGTGGCCACCACAGAAGTGTGTGTGCTACTGGCATCAAGAGAGCAGAGGTCAAGGATGAGGCCTGACATCCCACGGTGCATAGGACAGGTCCCCAACAGAGTCATCTGGCCCACACTGTCAACGCACCACGACTAGGATAACCCTAGTCAAAAATATTTTAAATTAAATGCTGGCTAAATTCCTTATTTTTCTTTCCAAAACCTCCCCCTCCCCCAAGCCCCATCCGGTGGCTTCTTGTACCCTTCCAACATCATGATTTTGAAAGTTCATTGGAGAATCAAGACTTCAAACTGTGCACAAGTAGCAAAACTTGATGCCGTGTTCAGACATCCTGAGATGATGGCAACAGCTTCTTGTTCACTTACCTTCTCCGACCGGCGGGTGAACAGCAGGTGAAGTTTTCCTTCTTTAACCAATAATGGCAAAAGGATGGAGTATTTGTGACACGATAAGTGATCATATTTGGTCCCAACATCAAGCTTTTTCAAGCGGGCTTTCGCATCATCTATCAAATTGTTTCTGAAATGGAAACAAACCAAACATTTCAGTAACCAGAGTTATGGCAGAAAGTTGTCAGTCCTGCCTATATTTATCCTTTTGTGTGCCTTGGAGTTTACCATTTCTGAGTCTCAGGGGATTTGTCAACAACATGGCAGAAATACTAGTATTTCAATAGCATGATTTTTGGTAAGATTGAATGAAGCAAAAAACTACTAAGCACAGAGTTAAGAACATGAGTTTACTTTGAAAAATCTAAAATTAAAGAATGGTAAAATGGTTTTTCAATAATGCAGAAGCTGAACTTTGAAATCCATAATTATATTCAGACAAGATGAGCTTACTAAGAAGGTCATTATAAGGTTAGATCATTTTCTCTTTCCTGGCCCTCATGTCAAGGTACCATACCCTAAGTCTTGTAATGGTGCCTCTCAACTGAGAAGCCATAGAATCACCTAGAAGGCTGCTCACAACACAGTCTGCTGGGTCTACCCCTACTGATAACTCAGTAACTTTGGAGTGAGGCCTGAGAATTAGCATTTTATCAAACTCCCAAGAAAGGGTGTTGCAGATGCTGCTGCAGAATAGGGGAACGCATGCTGAGAACCATCCCCTGACAATGAACTCGTGTCTGGATAAAACCACAAATGGTGCCCTTTTCATGGGGATTTGTTTTGGTCCTTTTGACAAGTCCTTTTTATGTATTGGATTGAATACTGTTCCCCCCAAATTCATATGCACTCAGAATATTACTTTATTCAAATAGGATCTTTGCCGATACAATTAACAAAGGGTCTTATGATACAATCTCCCTGGTGATTTTACGCCTATAAGGAAGAGGAGACAACATGGAAATAGGTGCACACAGGGAAGGCCTGTCAAGATGGACCCAGGGACTGGAAATATGCTACCACAAGCCAAGGGATGCCAGAAGCCCCCAGGTGCTGGAAAAGGCAAGGAGGTATGCCCTAGAGATTTCAGAGGGAGCGTGGCTCTGTCAACACCTTGATTTTGGACTTCTAGACGTCAGAACCAGAGGATAAATTGTTGTTTTAATCCACCTGGTTTGCTGTACTTTGTTATGGCAGCCCTAGAAAATGAACACATTGGTTTTAATTTTCTGTAGGAAGGCTGTATTACATAGTGAGCAAAATCAGATGTGTAAGTTAGCCAGAACTGGTTTAACAAGGGTACAGAAATAACCTCTCTAACCCTTGCTGTCATCTGTGACATGCTTGAGTGTTCTTATGAGGATTAAGTGACATTCACATACTAAGGCTGGCACTCAGCTGATGCTCAATGATTGGTTACCAATGTCATCATCATCAGATAAAAAGTTGTTTGCTACTTTATGCTTCTTTTTATGTGGCAGGGTGCTCACTAATGTGGTTGGGCAACACCATCGATTGAAAAAACGACCAACGTCCTGAAAACAATCACTGGCAAAGGACTTCAGAGTGTCTCCTGCAAATAGGACTCTGTCCAGAAAAGGAAAGGGGCCAGTATGGAGTGGGGAAGGACCCTTCCAAGGGCAGCTCTTAAGAAGCCCCCAGAACTGACCAGTGGAATCAATGGAGGTAAAAGTCTGCAAAAACATGTCTGTCCACTGTAGGGCTGGCCCTTGGAAAAATCACCAGGAAAACACCAACAGCAGCTCTGGGCAGGGCTGGCAGCAGGAGCTCCCCACTCTTTTCTCACAGAATCCTCACAGCAGCCCGGCAAGTGAGAACCTGATTGCGTCCAGGTTCAGCGACACTAGGGAATAGCTACTAGGTCACTAAGGGACTAGCCATCAGGGAACGATGCGGTCATCAGAGGACCTGAGGTCTAGTTGCGGAGACGCTGTTGGCAGAAGGGAGAAGCCGGCTGCAAAGGGGAAAGCGCTCCGTCCCCACAGTCGGGAGCAAACCTGCGCCTGTGTGAATCACGCTGGCTGAGGCCGGTCAGCTCCTGGAGGGGAAGGTGGAGGGCCTGGGGCTGTGCACTGCCCAGGTGCAAGGACACTGCCCGGGGCGCCAGAGCCGCAAACTCCACTGCAGCTAAAGGCCTGGGAGGCGCCCGGGACAATCGAGGAGGCCTGCGAGCGCGGCTAGGTGCCAAGGCCGGGAGCGGTTTACCTGCCGGTCTCCTGAAGCTGACAAGGCCGCGACATGGTTCTGAGAAGGTTTGTTTCCAGTTGGAGACTCCCGGGCAGGGATCCGCCGAACCCGCATGCGCAGAGCGGCCTTGGCCTAGGCAGGCTCTGGGGGCGGAGCTTAGCGGAAGAGGCGGGTCTAGACCTGGGGCTAGATTGGGCGTGGCCTGCAGCCAGGGGCGGGGCTGGGGCGGGGCTGGCAGGGTTCAGGGGTGGGCCTTCCTGATCACTCAGAGCAGCTTCTGCTTGAAAAGGGAGAGGCACTTTAGAAAGCATGACATTGACAACTGCAAAGACATTTGGAAAAATGAAAACAGTGCTGGTGAGGTGAGAGGATTCTGACACTCGCATCAGGATCTGTGGCTTTAGTGTCTGGGGCCACAGTTTTTTTTTTTTTTTAACAGCAGGAATTTTTTTTTTTTTTAAACAGCAGGAAGAAAATGAGCGGAATAATAAGCAACATATAAGAATGAACACAGCCAGGATTATATTCATCTTTATACCAATGCATCATAAAATATAATTCGTGTATTATTATTTTATGGAAAAAGCTGTCTATAAAAACGAAAGTGCTTAGGAGGTGTGAAAGTCACACTGCCCCCCTGGGTCAGGAGACAGTTGGGCCACAGTTCCTAATGTCTTCAAAACCGATGAACCAGCATTCAGAGGTTTCACCCTGGGAGTCATGGCCAAAGTTGGGGAGGGTCCAAACCAAAAGCTCTTGACCTCCCAAAAATACTGATCGTGGGCTTTACCCACAGTAGTGCACTGAATCCTCTGAGCAGCCCCATGAGATAGGGTGGTCTCTGTAGATACATCACCGTCCTTCCTTTCCAGAGTAGGAGACAAAATGTACCATGCTTAAGACCCTATAGTTCTGGTTCATTCTGAGCTCTGAGCATCTTTATTTCCACACCACCATACTGAAGCAATGGCCCTGTGTAGGTCTCACTGTGAAGAAGGAGATACACTAACCCCTCATCCAAGTGGCTCCTAAGTGCCAGGCATGAGGCATCAGCCCTTGACCTCTAAAGTCTCCAAGTGTAGTGGGGTGATAACAAACACTCTCTAGCTCTGGTAATTCAGTGTGTTCTTGGCTCTGGGTGAGAAGGGAGGGAACAGTGGTTCAGAGGACTGAGCTGGAAGGTGAAAGCTGTTTGGGGATTTGGTCTTCTCTTCTTTAGACATCCTTTGACGCAGTCCTCATTTTTGAAGGTGTACAAACTAAGGCTCAGAGTGGGAGTGCCTTTCCCATAGTCACACAGCAAGTAAATGATGAAGCCAAGTAAATGATGATCCCATCCAATGATCTCTACCTGGGCCTCAGGGTGTGGGGTTTGAGAGTTAGGTGGGATTTCAAGAGGCCCAGGTGGGAAAGACAGCAGTCAGAGAGCAGGGAACAGCAGAAGTCAAGCCTGAGTGAGTTCAGGGAGTCCTATTCTAAGGGGCCGGTTGTTCAGCGTGGCTGGGACAAAACGGATGTCCTACAGAGCGGAGCCCTAGACGTAGATGAAAAGTCCTTGGAAGCCACAAGCAGATGGAGATCTACCTTCTTTCTAAAGGAAAAAGAAGAAGCAATCTGGGTTGTAGGAAAATCTCTGTGGCAGCAGGTGGAAGATGGGTTGGCAGTGGGAGACACTGGGGTGGGGGGGCTTTTCTGAAAGTCTGGGCTCAAGAAACCAGAAAAAAAAATGCTGCTAAACTTTCTGAAAAGCCCCCATATTCCCAGCACCCCAAAGTCAGAGTGTTGAAGGGGTCTGGTTGGCCTTCATGCAAAATGCAGCCCCCGAGGTGCCTCGGGTGGCCAAAACTATATGCATGGTTCTTTCTTTCATGTTCAGAAATACTGCTGTAAAATTAGCTTTCACGGCTTTGATGAGACTGGAAGCCATAGCACAGGGGCGTCACAAGGAGAAATATGATCTTGATATACGGCCTGTGAGTCGGCTCCTACAAGACAACAGAACTTCCAGGAAAACTGAGAGTATATTAGGAGAAATGACTTGTCTCTGCTTTTCACAGATCTGTGGGTAATAATGTAATTCTGGAGGCTGCGATGAAGAGAAGCAGTGTTCTAAGCAGGTCAGGCTGCCGCACAGCCAACACCCATTGGTAAAGGCCTCTCAGGGAGCACATCCCAGGTGCCAGGGTGGGCCTTGTCTGCACACCTCCCAACTGGATCCTGAATTTGAGCAGCACTTGAGGGTGTGGGCTGGGAGATGGAGAGATAAAGAAAAAATCAGTCAGCTCGGAGGAGCAGAGGCTGTCTGGGGAAGAAAGCTGCAATCCACACTGAGCTGTAAGGTCAGGTAAAGGCTCTACTCTAGGAAAGGGGACCTGAGTGCCCTCAGGAGTATGGAGCAGCTGAAGCAGGTACCTTTGCCTGGGTGTGGGCAGGGAATTAATTAATGTTAATTAATTAATGTTCCTGGGAAAAAATACTCAAGAAATGTGAGTTTCTCTGGAGCCTGAGGCAGGAGGATCCCAAGTTCAAGACCAGCTTGGGCAACCCTGTCTCAAAATAAACCAAAAAGGGCTGGGGATGTGGCTCAGTGGGAAAGCACTTGCCTAGCATGCATGAGGCCCTGGGATCCATCCCCAGTACCATAATAAATACATAAAATTTAAAAAGAAGAAAAGGAAAATGTGAGTTTCCTCCACTCCCTCCCTCAGTTTTCAAGAGGTCCTCTGAAAGCTCTTGGAGGAAAGGTTTTTCAGATTAAGTCTTGCATCCAAAGGTGCTATATCAGCCGGGTGCAGTGGCACATGCCTATAATTTCAGCCACTCGTGAGGCTCAGGCAGGAGGATTGTGGAGTTCAAAGCCAGCCTCAGCAATTTTAGTGAAAGCCTAAGCAACTCAGAGAGACCCTATCTCTAAATAAAATACAAAATAGGGCTGGGGATGTGGCTCAGTGGTAAAGCGCCCCTGGGTTCAATCCCTGGTACCAAAAACCAAACAAGAGTGCTGTATCATGTTTATAGGTGCAGGGTTGAGCATCTGATAAAGAAGGGACGTCCCCCCTCTTACTCCTGCCAGCTTACCCACTACTCCACCCCAGAAGCTCTCACTCCCCTTCCTAAATCAAGACTAGTCCAGGGGGCACAGCCCCACCCCCAGCTCACCCCCCAAAAGAGGAAGTAGAGGGACATCTTCAAGGACTGAGTTAAATAGAAATTTCTCTACAAGTAGTTCAGGTATCTTCAGTGTCAAAATCATCTGGGGATGGGGTGTTGTCTGCACAACCCAATTCCCCAAACCCCACCTTGCAGGTTCTTATCTCTAGTTGGAAATTCACGCAGAAGCATGCATTTTGAAGCAAGCTTCTGAGTGACTCTGATGTAAAGAAAGAAGACAGTGGTTTCAGAGTTCCACAGATGATAAGGCCACCTGCTTCTGATACTTGGTGATGTGGCAACCCTAAAGAGAAGAAGACAGAATGGCCACCAAGGGCCAGGAGGTACCAGTCCTGGTACCATGGGAACCATCTTCCTTTCTGGTCTGGGGAGCTGGCAATATGGGCAAGTCACATCAAAGAGGCTCTGAGGGTATTGACTGGATTGTTTTATAGCAAGTGGGATGGAGCAGCAGAATTCCACATAATGTGACATTTTGTTTTTTATTAAAATACTGTTAAAAAGGAAAGACCTACTGGGTACGGTGGTGAACGCCCGTAATCCCAGCGGCTCTGGAGGCTGACAGATAGGAGGATCTAGTTCAGAGCCAGCCTCAGCAACAACAAGGTACTAAGCAAGTCAACGAGACCCTGTCTCTAAATAAAATACAAAATAGGGCTGGGGATGTGGCTCAGTGGTGGAGTGCCCCAGAGTTCAATCCCCAGTACAAAAAAAAAAGAAAGAAAGAGTTTGGTTCAAAATGCTTTCTGATTGCTATTTTTTGGCTGGGCATCTGGTTGGATGTTGGAGAGGCAGAGACTTGTAATAATTGGCCCTTGCCCATAAGGGATTTTGTGTCAAAGCACCTGTACAAGCATCTTCCTGGGCTTATTCAACACAGGAACTTTGGCCATAGCCTCAGGGATGCTGCCTCAGAAGGGACTCAAAGCAGCATTTTCAACCAAATCCTGATTTGGTGATTTTGATGCAAGTCTATACTCTGAAGTCTTGGAAATGGAAATTGAACCTAAGTCTGAGAAAATAAATGAATTTAAAAAGCAGAAATTAGCAGGCAAGAAGTAAGTAGCCTGAAAGTTGGTCCTTGATTTCTGGCAATAGGTGCAAATTAGGAATCAAAGATTTCTGTAGGAATTATAGGAAAAATGCCTCTGGAACTGCCATGAGTTATAAAATATAAATGCTGGCAATTTATTTCTGGCTACTATAAATGAGATTTCATGGTTGGTGTTTTTCAACCATGTTTAATTTTCATGGTGAAAGAATAAAATAGATACATGCTTACATATTAAGACGCCTTAAATCTCTGGGTCTCCACGAGCCAGGCCTGCCCAAAGCTGACACACACTTATGAGTAAGCATCATTCACATTTTACGCGTTGGTTCTCATTTCCGCGCACCTTTAGAAATGAGATAAAGATTAGTTATGTTCCAATCCTTTACTGTCATGTAATCTTTGTGTAATAGAACAATCAAGGAGGTTTAATTACCAGTGATGACTGAGCTGGGACATTTGTAATCTAAATGAAGGCTCAGCCTAGGAGGCACATCTCTGCGTGACTGTGCCTCACAATGAGGAGCAGTCTGCTCTCCATTAACATGAAAATTAGTTGTGAAATTGGCTTAAGATTTTCCAGTGCGTGTGGGTAGTTTAGTGTCTGCAGAGAAACAGACTCTGCTCCCCAGGGAATTCACCTTCCTGTGGCTTCCCCTTGGCCTTGGGTCTGCCTACTGGAACCCTGGTTATACTCCACATTCACAGGCAACTGACACTTCTCCCTAACACTAGACTCCACCGCTTAGGCGGCACGGTGCTTCAAGGAACTCATGCTCTGCCATCTCAGCAAGGACCACACCACCTGTGCTCTGCTCACAGGAATCCTCTGATGGTCACCCACTGCTGCTGTAACTGATATTAAACACCACTGGGTGGGCAGACGGATAGATGGATGGACGGGGATGATGGCCTCTGGCTTCAT